GGCCGGCGGCGGGTGGGGGGCCGGGGTGAGGGTTGGGGCCAGGTGAGCTGCGGGCGTCATTATCTGGCCCCGGCCCGACCCTCTGCGACCCCCGCTCGGCCTTTGGTTGCTGCGCGCTGAGTCTGGAGTTTCCCTCTGGGTCCTTTCTTGGGACCCCCTGGGGAGGGGGTGCCGTCAGGTTGGGCCCGGGCCTGTGGGACACTCCGGGACAGAGGGACCCCAGGCCGGGCCTGGTGCGAAGGGGAGGGACTCTCTTTGCGGGATAGGGATTGGCTTCTCGGGGACGCGCTGGAATTGCGCGCGGCGGAGGCAGGGAGCCCCGGACTTCGGGAGGCTGGGGCCTTGGCGCCGGCTTGGGTTCGCCCTGGGCCCGAGCCCCGCCCAGGGAGCGCTTTGGGGCGGAGGTCAGCAGCAACCGCCGACCCTGAGGGCTTCTGCAGCTGGAGCCTGCTTGAGGAGAGAGGGCAGAGGCGAGAGAAGAAGAGGGCAAAGACAAAAAAAGACCTTTTCAGAATCCTCCCGGAAACTTAGTGGCAGAGTCCTGCGTCCGCAGAGCTGGAGACCAAGGAGGCCATGGCACAGCCGGGGAAACCGGGGCCTGGCGCTCCACCCTCCAGGGCAACATCTAGGGGCCACGCACTCCCAGGCTGTTGCTAGAAACGCCTGCCGCAGGCTTTCTTTGGGGCCCCTATGCCACTAAAATTCCCGTGGACTTTACATTCTCATCTGTAATACACCCGCGTTCATACTCACGTGAAATCACGTTTTTAGTTTCCCATCTATTCAGAGCTCTGACTTTACCCTTTAGCTTCAAATGCCTCGTATGAAGGCTGCCTGTGGACCCCATCAACCTTTCCCAAGCTGTCTGGCCTCCCTGACACCCCAATCCAGTGGCTTCCTGTGGCCACTCCCCAAGCCCAGTGCCAGGGCTGGGGCCTGAGTCAGAAAGGAGACAGCACAGCTGGAAGGCGTAGACAGAGGGTCCCTTCATCTTCCCGTGGAGCCCCTGCTGCGGGAGCCTCGTGTGGGCACCCTCTGCTCACCCTGGGGCGGGCAGCGGTTTCTCACCTGCTGGTGATGGCTGTGTCAGATGCTGGGGCTGCGTCATGGGGTCTGCTGGGGATCTGCTGGGCTGCAGCGGGTGTGGACGTGCGGATGCTGACGGGGCGGGGAATCCGGCTCCTGGCGGCAGCTGCACGCCCGGCCTTCCGGGGCAAAGCCGCGGGCTCGGAGGCGGGCGTGTCCTCCTCGGAGCCGGTGCCTGAGAGAGTCTCGGAGGCCCGGCGCTGCTCCTCGCTGGAGGAGGACGAGGCCCCCGAGGCCCGGCGCAGGAGCAGCCCGCTTCTCCATCACCAGGCGCGCCAGGTCCTGCTGCGGCCTGGCCCTCTTGCCCCACCGCTCTTTGGCTGACAGCGAGCGCGAGGGCTCTGAGCCCGTGTCCTCCTCAGACAGCAGGACAGGGATCCGGCTCCTGGGCCGGGGGCCTGGCATGGCGTGGCGGATAGGGGAGATGCTGGCCACTTTCTCGGGGCCCGGCTCCGGTGGGGTCGCGGGGGCTGGCCTGTCCGTGGGAGCGGGGCCGTTGGGCACAGGGATCTCTCCAGGGGGGGCAGACAGGGCGCAGCTCTCCATCTCGGCCCCATCCATTCCGGACAGGGCCATGCCATTCTCCAGAGGCACTGGGACCTCTTCCCCAGCACCCCCGACCGAGGGTGCCTCTAGACCCAGCTCGCCCTCAGTGCTGAAGTCCTCAGACCGGGACACTTGTCCTCCGGAGGACATGACGTTGAGGTGGGTTTTCTCCGCTATATGCACAAAGGTCCTCTCAACTTTGGTGAAGGGTGAGGAGGTGACTGCCACTCCCCCTGCGCCTGTGCTCACCGCCCCAGCCCCGGGCTCTACCCCAGGCCCAGGAGGCTTGGGCTCAGACTTGAGGACAGAGGACAGGGTGCCCGGCTCAGAGACGTCCAGCTGGCTGCCAGTGGGCTGAGGCCGCTCATGCTGAGGAGTGAGGGCAGCCAGGGTGCCCAGGTCGGGGTCGGGGGCCAGTTCGGCAGTGACAGGCGACTTCTTCATGTCGCCGGGGGAGACGAGCACCAGCGTTTTGGAGCCCTCCTCAGGCTCCAGGTCCCCATCAGCCATGGAAGCCCGGCCCCTGGATTCCTTCTGATCATCAGCCAGCAGCGTAGAGGGGGCGCCCTCCTGGCTCCGGTCAGTGCTCCTCTCGCTGCCTTCACTGCTAGAGCCACTGTGGGGCCCCAGCACCTCCCCCAAGGCCACTGCCTCCTCCTCTTCTTCCTCCTCCTCCTCCTCCTCTTCCTCCTCCTCTTCCTCGTCTTCCTCTTCCTCCTCTTCTTCCTCTTCCTCCTCCTCCTCTTCCTCCTTGCCATTCGCCTGAGGCTGGACAGGAGCCAGCGGGACCTGGGTGGTGGTGAGCAGCATGTGCGAGAAGCCCACCCTCCGGACCCTGTTGAGCAGCCGTGCCCGTTCTCGGTAGTCGGAGAGGTCTCTCTTGAAGTCCTGGTAGGGCAGGCTCAGAGGCACAGCTCGTGGGAGGCCATTCACTTCAAATGGGGGTGCCACGGAGAACACCTGCAAGGGGCACACACAGGGACCCTCTGAGGTCACCCACCCTCCTGGCCCGAGAAGACCTCTGCTGCGCCCACAAGCTAGGAGACCCACCCGCGTCACCCAAGTGTGAGCCCACGGAGGTAGGCGCTGCGTCAGTGCCCGTCCTCACGGCCTGGAGTGGGCCCTGGCGCCTAAGAAGTGCTCAGAAAGTCTCCATGCTCCAAGTCCCCTGAAGTCCTAGGACCTGATCTGCTGGTTTCTGTCTCGCTGCCCTCTCTGTTCTCCCCACTCCTCTCCTTGTCACATGCATGCTGAACCCGAGAGTCAACCCTGGAGTTCAATCCGTAACAGAAGATGAGCACTGGAAGGCACCCTAACCTCCAGATAGCTCCACCCTCTTACAGATGAGACCAGGCTGAGAGGAGCAGCAAGTATTCATGTCCCTTCCTGAGCAGGGCTGGGCCAGGGCTGGCCCACAGATGCTCTCCTCTTGCTACCTCCTCACAGGGTACTGCTCCTCTGTAGCTAAAGAGCTAGCGGGATCAGCAGGCAGCATGGTGAAGGGACTGGACTCCCATATGGCTGACTGTGGTTCAAGTCCCAGACCTGGCAGTTTTCTTTCTCACTTCCTCTCTCTCTCCCTGTCTCTGGTGAGCACACGTGCCCTGTAGCAAATTAAAATAATACTAGTAATGACAAATAGGGGCCAGCAGGTGGTGTGGTGGTTAAGGCAGCTGGACTCCCACATGGCTGACCTTGGTTTGAGTCCTGGACCTGGCAGCTTACTTTCTCACTTTCCTTCTCTCTCTCTGGTCAACTTCAAAAAATGTTTATAATGACAATGAAGAAAAATAAACTAATTCTTTAAAAAATAATAATGATGATAAATAAATTATTCTTGTTCAAAAAGAATTATTTTATTTAACTTTATTTATTTCCTTATTTTAATTTGACCAGAGAGGGTCAGAGTGAGAGAGGAGAAGGGAAAGTGCCCAAGCAAGCCACCAGGTCCGGAACTCAGACTGCAGTCAGCCATGTGGGAGTCTAGAGCCCATAACCACCGGGCCACCGGCCAGCCCCAAGTAAATAATAAAAAAAAAAAGAGCCGGCTTGCCTAGGACCAGAAGGACCTACGTCAGGTAAGGACAAAGTTAGGGCTACCCTCTGCCCCGGGCTAGCCCTCTGCCCTCTCGCTCTGTCCTGGCCTGTGAGCTGGGAAGCGACAGATACACTTACTCCATTACGTTCTTCCCAGCTTCACGCCGAACGCTTGCCAAACTTCCTCTTGGCTTCCTAGGCTCCTGCCACATCCTGCCTTAGCGTCCTTCCTCCCAGACTAGAAAAGCCTGACTACCTTCCCAGGACCTCCTTCGCTTTTTTTTTTTTTAATTTGTCAGAGAGCTCGTGTACTCACCGGAGAAAGACAGAGAGGGAAAATGAGTGGTCTGACCCTGACCTTCTCTCCCATCCCCCTCCTTTTAGGGTTTTGGGCATGAACACACACATGCCGGGCATGTTTCCCAAGTCACTGGCATCAGGACTGCAGCTACACACTTGGCCGTGTGGGATCTGGCTGCCGTGACCACCAAGCCACAGAGCCAGCCTGTTCCTTCACCTTCTAGATCCCTTCCCCAGCTCTTCCCTGTTCAATCCGTAAACATCCCAATGTACCCACAATGCACTGGGCCCATCAGGGCTGACGTGGCTTTGTTCCTGGGTGGGATGGTGTCAACGGAGTACAGTACTTTTATTATTATTATTATTATTATTATTTTAATTTACTATAGGGCACATGTGCTTGCCAGAGAGAACAGGGAGGGGAGGAGTGAGAAATCACTCTCCATGGGGATGGCCACGCCCAGATCCCCTCTCCATTCTCCTCTTGGAAATTTGGGCACACAGATACATGCTTCTGGTGTGTGTTTGTTTTGTTTTGTTTTGTTTTTCTGGTGTGTTTTTTAAGCCACCAGGTTTGGGACTCGAACCACTCAGTAGGCTATGTGGGATCCAGCCCCCTTAAGCACCATGCCATTGTCTGGCCCAGAGTATACTCACTTATTAGTTTTTTTGAGAGGTTTTTGCTATTGGGCGCATGTGCTCACCAGAAGGACAGAGAGATAGAAAGCAAGAAATCACCCCCCAGGGAAGATGGCCACACCGCAATCCCTTCTCCTCCATTCTCCTCTCAGGATCCTGGGCACGCACACACACCCAGTGTGACTTTAAGCCACCGGGTCCAGGACTCGAACTGCGGTTGACCACATGGGAGTCCAGCGACGTAGCCATCACACCATCTGCTGGTCTCCCTTGTTAGCCTTTTTGGACAAACAGGGCTTCTGTCTTTCTGGCAGTTTTATCCTTTCATGTGACCAGCCACTGGCTTGCTCCTTCCGTCCTGCACTGCCACCCACCCTTCTTACTGAGGCCTGACTGAGCTTTCTGGAACTCGAATCTAATTCCATCTCATTCTGCTTCAGAACTGCAGTGGTCCCCACAGTCCTCAGGAGGCAGTGGCAATCCTTGGCTTGACACGTGAGCAGCCCCCACACCTACCCCATGCCTCCCGCCCCAACCTCACTGCGGAACCTCTGACCCCCGCCCGGCATCCCGGCACTACTGAGGCTACCAGCAGTTCCCCGAAGGCTTCGTGCGTCTCACATTTTGCCCAGATTCACTTCACCCACTATTTACACGATAAATTCCTAGTGTTCCTCCGAGACTAGTGCAAACAGCTTCTCTCTGGCAAAACCCTCCTGTCCAACCACCAGTCAGGCTTCATCACTCTCTCCATTCTTCCAGGAAAGGACCTTCCACCCTCTGTTCCATACAAATACTCTTGACTTACAATAGGGTCTAAAATACAGTAAGCTGGGGCCTACAGCTGGTGTGGGGTAAGGGCGCTGGACTCCCACATGGCCGACTGCAGTTTGAGTCCCGGACCTGGCACCTTGCTTTTCTGCTTTCCCTTTCTCTCTCTCTCTGTCTAGTCAAATCAAAAAGCAATAATAACAGATGAAATTAAATAAATAATTCTTCTTTAAAAAAAAAGAAAAAGAAAGAAAGAAAGAGGAAAGAAAGAAAGAAAGAAAGAAAGAAAGAAAGGAAGGCAGGCAGGCACACATGCTGGGCACGAGTGCATGGGCGCCCCGAATCCTGAGTGGACAGAGAAAGGATTGTGGCCTGACCATGCCCCACTGGGAGTGAGCTCCCTCCCTAAGTGCACTTACCCTCTGGTCATTTTAAGAGTGAGAGAGAGAGAGAGGAGCCAGACCCCACGTGCTGATGATGGTGATTCAAATTCCGGGCTGGTCAGTCTGAACCCTGCCGGGCACACGCACAAGTGCCCAAGATCCAACAGGCTAGAGGACCGAAGGGGGACTGCGGCGTGACCAGGCCCTGTGGAGGTGCTCGTTTCTCTCTCTCGCTCTCTCTCTCTGATTGTCTCGGTCCCAGTCTCACATGCATGAATAAAGAAGAAAAGAAGTGTGCGGTTGGACCACGGCAAGGAGGAGGAGCAGGCCAGTCACGCTTAGACCCACAGAGGGAAGGAAAGCTCCAGCCCTCGCCCTCCCCCAGAGCCCAGCCCAAGTCCGTGGTTACTCCAGTCAGAAGGAAAAGTGGGCAGAGAGGGTGAATCAGACCCTGGTCTGTCCTTGCTACCAACACACCTGGGCTCTCTTCAGCCTTGGGGGCCCTTCTGTGACGCTGACACTGGGCACAGTTGCTCCACACATACCCCCACCCAGTGCCCACACAAGGTGCAGCTCTCCAGCCTCGACCCAGGCTGAGCCCAGGCGAGACTGCACATTGACACACACACACACACACACACACACACACCCGCATTCTAAGGTCAGAGGAGGAGGCCAGGGAGGGGCTGGGTGACAAACGCAGGAAGGTGAGCCTGGGATCCACCATGGCAGAGAGCACAGAGGGCTTCGTGCCTGTCACAGCAGTTCCCCTCCATCCTCCTCCTCTCTCAGAAGCTGCCACTAACTACCCTGGAGGGAGAGATTCTTGGACCACCTCCTGGGCCCCAGCCTTGGTTCGATCACCCAGCCTGAGGCAAGGAGCAATGCCAGCTCTTCTGTCCACCGCTGCCCTTCCCAGATTCTTCACCTTCACCTGCTTGTGTGTCTCCATTCTCTCTCTCTGTATTTAGTTTATTTATCTAGGGTATCTGTGCTCACCAGAGAGACAGAGACAGGAAGTGAGAAATCACCCCCCGGGGTGGGATGGCCACGACTCAACCCCTTCTCCTCCATTCTCCTCTCGGGATCTTGGGGACACATGTCACTTTCCCAGTGTGAATTTCAAGCCACTGGGTCCAGGACTTGAACCACGACTGACCATGTGGGAGGCTAGTGCCTTAACCACTACACCACCTGCTGGCTTCTCTTTAGTTTTTATTTGCCACAGGGTGTGTGTGCTCACCAGAGAGACAGAGAAAGCACCTGCCAACTGGGTATTGTCACATTGCAACCCCTCCTCCATTTTTCCACCCTGTCGGGTTTTGGGGGCACACACGCCCACCCACCCTACATGATTTTCAAGCTGCTGGGACCAGAACTCAAACCACGTGGCTGGCCACGGGGATTGGCTCCCTTAACCAGCAGGTCACTGAGTCCACTCAAAAAGTACTGAGAGCCTTCCCCTTCCCCCAAGCCACTGGGGCCAGGATTTGAATCACGTGGTCATCCATGTGGCTTCCCGTAACCACTAGAAGGGGACCATATGTGTCTTCATTCTCAAAGCAACTCTCCTAACCAAAAGCCCTCACCCCACTGCTCCAGGCCACACTCAGAACTGCTACCCAGCCCAGCTGGGCACTGCAGCCAGGGAAGGGGTGAAGGGGTAAGCTGACCCCCAACATGGCTGCCTACCTAGATCTATACAGAACCTCACACACATGACCCCAGATCCCAGTGGACCCCAACCACCTCCCACAACCCTTCTAAAGGCTAAAGCCAGGGACCAGCAGTTAGCATAATGGCTATGTCACTGGACTCCCACATAGTCAA